ACCAGAGCACCACAAGTGCTCGTAAAGCCGTGCTGGGGTCCCGCAATGACCTCAGCTATTTCCCTCAGCACCCTGCGGTGGAGATCGTCCAGACCAGCTGATTTAAATACGTCCAGTCCCTCCAGACGTTCCCTGACTAGATCCTCCCTGACCCTTGGTCTGGATGCGCCTCCCCTGGGGCCTGAGGGGGGCCCAGAAAAGGCATTTTGTTCAATGCCTTCATCAACGATCTGGAAGATGGCAGAGCGCACCCTCAATAAGTCTGCAGGTGACACCAAGCTGGGGGGAGTAGTAGATATGCTGGAGGGCAGGGCTAGGATTCAGAGAGACCTAGACAAATTGGAGGATTGGGCCAAAAGAAATCCCATGAGGTTCAACAAGGACAAGTGCAAAGTCCCGCACTTAGGACAGAGCAATCCCATGCACCGGTGCAGGCGGGGGGCCGACGGGCTGGGCAGCAGCTCTGCAGAAAAGGACCTGGGGGTGACAGTGGACAATAAGATGGATATGAACCAGCAGCGTGTCCTTATTGCCAAGAAGGCTAACGGCATCCTGGGCTGCATTGGTAGGAGCATTGCCCAAAGATCGAGGGAAAAGATTCTTCCTCTCTCTTCAGCACTGGGGAGGCCACATCTGGAGTCCAGTGTCCAGTTTTGGGCCCCCCACTACAGAAAGGATGTGGACAAATTGGAGAAAGTCCAGTGAAGGGCAACAAAATTGGTTTGGGGGCTGGGGGACAGGACTTGTGAGGAGAGGCCGAGGGAACTGGGCTGATTTAGTCTAGTCTAGAGAAGAGAAGGCTGAGAGGAGATGTAATTGCAGCCTTCAACTACCTGTTTACTAGGGCAGCCTTGGGGAAAACCAGGAGTAATGGCCACAAACTCCTGGAAGATCATTTCAGGCTTAACACAGGAAAATCTCCTTCACAGTCAGGGTGTCCAGACTGTGGAATAAGCTCCCTCCAGAGGTGCAATCACCTACCCTGGAAATCTTCAAGAGGAGACTGGGCAGTCACCGTGCTGGGGTCACCTGCCCCCAGTTGTCTTTCCTGCCTGGTGTGGGGGCTGGACCCCATGATCTGCGAGGTCCCTTCCAGTGTCTTACCAACCAAGGTCCCTTCCAGCCCCTTACAATCTACCTGCAGGGCGGTTGCAAAGGGGATGGAGCTGGACTGTTCTCCGTGGGGGCCGATGGCAGAGCAAGGAGCAATGGGCTCAAGGGAACTTGAGTTTAGATATTAGGAAGAATTTTCTTCCTAGGAGGGTAGTAAAACACTGGAACAGGTCACCCAGAGAGATGGCAGGATCTCCACCCTTGGAGGTGTTTAAGACCTGGTTAGACATAGCCTTGGCTGGGATGATGTAGTTGGGGCTGGTCCTGCTTTGAGCAGGGGGTTGGACTAGATGTGACCTCCTGAGGGCCCTTCCAACCCTCATTTTCTCTGATTGTATGAATTGCCGTTCAAAGCAAACTTACTTCCCAGTCACTCATTGCACTCTCCGCAACTGCGACACATGAAAGCAAACAGAAGCCCTACAGATCAACTCAGCCTCTCAGCGTCTTTGAGTAAAACAGAAAAAAAATAAATCAAGCTGGAATAAAACTCCCTTGTCCCTGATGAAGAAAGAGTGAACCTCCTGTTCACTTCCCTGACTGCTTGCACAGATGCTCAGGAGAAAAGCCACGTGTTGCAAGCCGGGGAAGAGGCCAGGAAGAAATGTCCAGGAGACGCAGGCTGAGAACCTGTGGGCCACGGACGGATGAGCTGGTTTGAAGGACCACCATGGCTGAGTGCACCCGGGCAGTCGCTGCAACCTGAACTGCTGCAAAGATTACAGCCGGCAGGTGACTGGATCTGCCTCTTCGATCACAGCAGCCGTCCTCTGGGTTCAAAGCCCAGCTTTGACTTGCTGTTTCTCAAG